CCACTGGTTCCTGACCTATTAGCATCTTACTAGGTCTCACAGTGTGCTGGGGACACTTTCTACAGGTTAACTCATACCACTAGCAAATCTCATGTAACATGCCCGAAAACAACATCTTTTGCAATTATATGTACTTAGCAACTCGAGCCTATAACATTTCAGTACGCGAGAGTGTCAGATGTTTCTGCAGAGCTCGTCCACTGAGTTCAATCAACAGTAATTATACGGATGCAACCCGACCTTCCCCATTGGGCATCAATCAGCCTCCACGACCAGCTGCCGTGGATATATATCTGATTGTACGTCCATGGAACTCTTCAGTCAATGCAGACAACTGCTTTAGCTTTGACCATAGGCAAGAAGTCGTTATGCAGCATTACCACCAAGGGTAGGATTTTCTGCTACCAAACTCTACAACACTTTATACCTTATTTCTCAAATTCTGACGTCTCTTTTTAGCACTTTTGTTATGAGTAATCGATTTTTCGAAAAAACATTACAGAACGAGAAAATTCAATCTAGATCCTACGTTAATTTCCGTTGTAGCGGCAAAGAAATATCAAAGTTCATTGCTAGTCTCCTGGTTCATTTTGATGTTGGGAGACGATTACAAGAACACTGCGTCAACATGATCCACGATCCATTACAATCCAACACTAATGGACATCAGCGCCATCTGTTGCAAATCTTTGAAAACAGGCTTTTAAGGTGTTAGTTTTCCGACTTTGGTATTGTGCCATATATATTTATGAATTAATAACGATCACGAAATATGTTGACAATTTGACCCTTGTTTTTACGAAACCTTAACAATTACGTCACGAGTTGAGTGAAACCAGAGCTAAAAATATAATACAAAACAGAGATTACAGTATGTTAAGGCATATAAGAAATAACGTATGAAAGTTATCAAGAAGATTCGAATATATTCTGCAACCTGAGACTTTTGATAATAATCAAATAGATTAAAATATATTCTGAAAAATGAATGATTAGATTTATATCAAGAACATTCGTATTGTCTTAAAGCTAGACACGAGATTATAATCAGTAAGATCCAGAGATCCTGAAACAAATACGAGTTCAGATTACTATCAAGAATATTTGCACATGCTCTGAAACACAATAGTTTAGATAGTATACTTTATCAGACTGAGATATAATGATAGACTTAATCCGGTATATCCATACATATTTTATAACGCCGTTGTGTGTAGATCCCGATAAAAGATGCGTTTATGACCTTGGTGTGTTTTTACCCTTGCACTTCTAGCTCTATCAAAAATACATGAAAGCAATTAGCTCTCAATTGCGATGCATTATGTTCTATCCTTAGTCCTTGCTGTGGTGCTCATGCATGTCATGCTACGTTTGAACACGGAACACTACATGCTGTTCCATGTATACACTCGATGCCTTGCAATAAAACGTAAATGCCCGGGGAAAGCGACATGTTAATAGGAGAACGTGGATTAAGTTTCATAGCATGTTGTCGGATTCTCTTGAAAACCTAACGAGACTAATTGGAAGTGGAAATAACTATGCACATGGAAACGTCGATAACCAGATGTCACAGCTAGAATATGTATTGATATATTGATATATGCAAAATGGTTTAATATCGACACTGTGGATAACACTGCTCAGAGAATGGTGATGTTGAGCCGTTTTGTAGTTCCTTATAAGCAAAACCTTGAAGACCCGGGGTAGAATAGGTCTTCAGCAACCCACGCTTGTCGTAAAAGGCAACTATGCTTGTCGTAAAAGGCGACGAATGGGATCGGGTGGTCAGGCTCGCTGACATGGTTGATGCATGTCATCAAATCCCAATTGCGTGGATCGATGCTCATGATGTCAATCACTGGGTTGTCTGGTCCAGACTCGATTATTTACAGACCGCCGTCATATCGCTGGAATATTGCTGAGTGCGACTTTAAACAACAAGCAAACAAACAAACCCTATAAGCATATTTACAGCATATATACAGCAACTGGATGGGACCAAACAAAACCAAAAAGAGTTGGTTATATCCGTCAGTTTGTTACAAGTGTGTTCGTTATAAAGCTAGTTTACTGTATCTTCTACCGTAGTTTGACCGCATGACGATGTACTTGCCTTAGGAATGGATTTTGTACTACTATTACACGCTGGTGATTTGGTGATACATCAACATTCATCACATGAACATTCATGGTCCAAACTTCATGATCAGGAAGAGCAATTTACGTTTACAGATTCGAATAGTGAGAGAGTGAGTTTTGTCGCCGCCTTGAACATTACTTCAGTTGTATCATGGGTAGAGTTTAATGTGGGAGGAAAGCCTGAGTGATGCAGGTATTACATGGGGGCGCCCCTTTGGTCACACCGACCAGCATGGCCTGCTGTACTGGAAACATGTTGACGGCGAACCGCGACTTGAACCACTGTTTCTGGCACCCTTAAGGGACTCACTCTGCACAGCTAATTGATCACTGATCCATCCACTTCCCTCAACCTTACTCATAGATAGCTTTTGATGCAAAGTGCATGGTCTTGGCAAGAACGTCCCTTAACCTCACCATAAAACATTAAGCAAGATTTGAAAAAAATAACATTACCCCAGAAAATGGCCGAAATGAACTTTACGAACATAAATAAATAATCAAATCTGGAAACCCAGTGATCGTTTTTTTTAGCAACGGCGATCCAAACAGTCAGCCAAGTCACCGAGCCTGACCACGCGAACCATTTACCACCTTGCTCGGTACCAATTCTAATCCGGAATCCACGGGGTTTTGCGCTAAATTCTCTCTTAATGTGGGAGGAAAGCCTGAGTGATGCAGGTATTTCATGGGGGCGCCCCTGTGGTCACACCGACCAGCATTGCCTGCTGTACTGGAAACATGTTGACGGCGTACCGCGACTTGAACCACTGTTTCTGTCACCCTTAAGGGACTCACTCTGCACAGCTAATTGATCACTGATCCATCCACTCCCATCAACCCCCTTACTCATAGACTAACGCCTCATCTTTAAAACTATATAATTTTGACAGAGACATTCAATTCCATTTAAATTGAAAAGGAGGTCTTGTGAGATTGGATATGTCTCCACCTGTGGACAATCTGTGGTTTCATTGAGGGCTTTTGCATTACAGTGAGGGCTTGGTAGTAGGGAATATTATATGGTGAGTGACGGTGACACCGACTTTTTCTCTCCCCTTTAGCATGGCATAAAATTTCGCAAACAAGCCTACCCCAATTGAGCCTAAACTGTCAGTGATACACACTAACCTGTTTACATGAATGCAACGTGCATGCGATGCATGGTTATATGTGGGCAAAGCCTGTGTACTACACATGGCATAGTGCCAAGAGAACAATTTACAAGAGGAGATTGATCATGATAGAGTGTTGGAGAGTGTGACCTGTCTATGTACGTTCCAACGCATTTAGGGTCGTGGTAATTAACAAGCTTGAACCCCGGGGCCATTGAAGCCAGGTTCTTTTACTTTCTCCCTCCTGAGGAACCGTATGCAAATGAAGCCAGATGATTTTACTTTCTCCCTCCCGAGGAACCGTTTGCCAATGAAGCCAGATTATTTTACTTTCTCCCTCCCGAGGCACCGTTTGCCAATGAAGCCAGGTCATTGTACTTTCTCCGTCCCGAGGAACCGTTTGCCAATGAAGCCAGGTCATTGTACTTTCTCCCTCCTGAGGAAACGCTTGCCAATGAAGCCAGGTCATTGTACTTTCTCCGTCCCGAGGAACCGTTTGCCAATGAAGCCAGATTATTGTACTTTCTCCCTCCTGCGGAACCGTTTGCCAATGAAGCCAGATTATTGTACTTTCTCCTTCCTGCGGAACCGTTTGCCAATGAAGTCAGGTTCCTGTTTTTTCTCTCTGCCGAGGAAACGCTTGCCAATGAAGCCAGATTATTGTACTTTCTCCCTCCTGTGGAACCGTTTGCCAATGAAGCCAGATTATTGTACTTTCTCCCTCCTGCGGAACCGTTTGCCAATGAAGTCAGGTTCCTGTTTTTTTCTCTCTGCCGAGGAAACGCTTGCCAATGAAGCCAGATTATTGTACTTTCTCCCTCCTGCGGAACCGTTTGCCAATGAAGCCAGATTATTGTACTTTCTCCCTCCTGCGGAACCGTTTGCCAATGAAGCCAGATTATTGTACTTTCTCCCTCCTGCGGAACCGTTTGCCAATGAAGCCAGATTATTGTACTTTCTCCCTCCTGCGGAACCGTTTGCCAATGAAGCCAGATTATTGTACTTTCGCCCTCCTGCGGAACCGTTTGCCAATGAAGCCAGATTATTGTACTTTCTCCCTCCTGCGGAACCGTTTGCCAATGAAGTCAGGTTCCTGTTTTTTCTCCCTCCCGAGGAACCGTTTGCCAATGAAGCCAGGTTCTTGTACTTCTCCACGTTTGCCAATAAACCAATAACTACAACATTTCTTACGACAAAACTATTCTTAGTAACAGTTTATTTTTTAGGTTAACCTTTCCATTTTGTCTCTTATAATGATGTTTTTATTCCAACAGAGCGGGATGTTTATATGAAAGGTTACACCTATTCTCGATACTACATTGTAAATGATCCATGCTTCATTGACGCTGACGTCAACGTTGCGTGAGGAACACTATGGAAATATACAATTTTAATCACGGAACATTGTATAATCATACAAGGAACTCTTCTCCATGCCTTGTGATGGGTCTCCTGCTATTATCTTCAGTGATGCGCAGCAGATCGTTTCTTTGTTGTCAACACAACGTACGTCAGTGTGTATCATATGTTATGGCAAATAAAGGATATGTGTGACAGCTATTTCAGCTACTTCCATGTATGACAATTAAGTTGCAATATCTTTGGTAGTATCATTAGCAGTGCGGGGTCTATCTGTGTTTTTCTTTGCCTGACTGATGACACATCACTGAAAGATCTACGAGTGATGTTGCTCAGAATAACTCTCCCTTTCGATCGATTGAAGGAGTCGATTTTGGCATAGTTTTAGGAATCAATGTAGGATCCAATGTAGGAATCAATGTGGGAATCAATGTAGGAATCAATGTAGGATCCAATGTAGGAATCAATGTGGGAATCAATGTAGGAATCAATGTAGGAATCAATGTAGGAATCAATGTGGGAATCAATGTAGGAATCAATGTAGCAATCAATGTAGGAATCAATGTAGGAATCAATGTGGGAATCAATGTGGGAATCAATGTAGGAATCAATGTAGGATCCAATGTAGGAATCAATGTGAGAATCAATGTAGCAATCAATGTAGGAATCAATGTAGGAATCAATGTAGGATCCAATGTAGGAATCAATGTGGGAATCAATGTAGGAATCAATGTAGGAATCAATGTAGGATCCAATGTAGGAATCAATGTGGGAATCAATGTAGCAATCAATGTAGGAATCAATGTAGGATTCAATGTAGGATCCAATGTAGGAATCAATGTAGGATCCAATGTAGGAATCAATGTGGGAATCAGTGTAGGAAAGGATGTGGGAATCAATGAGGAAATGAATGTTGACATCGATGTAGGAATCAATGTCGACATCGATGTAGGAATCAATGCAGGAATCAATGTAGGAATCAATGTAGGAATTAATGTAGGAATTAATGTAGGAATCAATGTAAGATCCAATGTAGGAATCAATGTAAGAATCAATGTAGGAATCAATGTAGGAATCAATGTAGGATCCAATGTAGGAATCAATGTGGGAATCAATGTAGGAATCAATGTAGGAATTAATGTAGGAATTAATGTAGGAATCAATGTAAGATCCAAAGTAGGAATCAATGTAAGAATCAATGTAGGAATCAATGTAGGAATCAATGTAGGATCCAATGTAGGAATCAATGAGGGAATCAGTGTTGGAAAGGATGTGGGAATCAATGAGGAAATCAATGTTGACATCCAAGTAGGAATCAATGTAGAATCCACTGTAGGAATCCATGTATGAATCAATGTTGGCATCGATGTAGGAATCAATGTTGGCATCGATGTAGGAATCAATGTAGGATTCAATGTATGAATAATTGTAGGAATCAATGTACAGTGTAGGATCCAATGTAGGATTGAATGTAGGATTGAATGGGGGAATAAATGTAGGAATCGATGTAGGATCCAATATAGGAATCAATGTTGGCATCGATGTAGGATTCACTGTTGACATCGATGTAGGATTCAATGTTGGATTCAATGTAGGAATCAATGTTGGTTGTTTGGTTGGTTGTTTTTTAACGCCGCAATTTTCCAGCTATATGACGGCGGTCTGTGAATAATCGAATCTGGACCAGACAATTCAATGATTTACATCATGAACATCAACCCACGCTATTGGGATCGATGACATGCATCAAAAAGTCAGCGAGCCTGACCACCCGATCCCGTCAGTCGCCTTTTACGACAAGCATAGTCGCCTTTTACGGCAAGCATGGGTTGCTGAAGAGTGACCTATTCTACCCCGTATCGTCACGGGTCAGGAATCAATGTAGGAATCAGTGTGGGAATCATTGTAAGATTCAATGTAGGACTCAAAGTAGGATTCAATGTAGGAGTGAGTGCGTATGGTTTTACGCCGCTTTTAACAATATTCAAGCACTATCAAGGCGGCGTAGACCAGAAATGGGCTTCACACATTGTACCCATGTGGGGAATCGAACCCGGGCCATCAGCGTGACGAGGGAACGCTTTAACCACTAGGCTACCCAACTGCCCCTCAATGTAGGAATCAATGAAGGAATCAATATAGGATTCAATTTAGGAATCAATGTCTCCTCTAGACCACAATGAGTGAGTGAGTATGGTTTTACGCCGCTTTTAGCAATATTCCAGCAATATCACGGCGGGGGACACCAGAAATGGGCTTCACACATTGTACCCATGTCGGGAATCGAACCCGGGTCTTCGGCGTGACGAGCGAACGCTTTAACCACCAGGCTACACGACCGCCCCTAGACCAAGAGAGTATGTCAATTGTGCAGCAGGAGAGTGATTGGTGTTTTACAAAATACTCTTTATGAATAATTGAGTAAATAAGTGTGTAGTTCAAAATAAAGAAGAGCTATGAACCATGTTTTCAGTGTCCGATTACTTAATCAGTCACGTGACACACTGTCACCACCCGATCCTCATTCAAGTCATCTCAAGAAGGGACACGGGTGGCACAGTCTAAGGTGTCGGAATTCGCTGTGCAGACTTTCGTCCCTTGAGCCAAGTTCCAACGATGTTTCTAGGTTAATCACCCAATAGCCCCCTCGGGTGTTTCACCATGGAGTAAGTGTGAGGCCTGCATCACTTCGGGCTTTCCTCCCACATTAATCTGACACGCCGTTATACAACTGGAATACTGTTAAAGTGGCGTTAAACCCAAATCACTCTCACTCAACTGTCGACATGGGAAACACTGCAGCCACAATGGGTCATGACACATCAGAGCACCACGCACAATTTAAGAGCATAGCTGACGTCAGTGGCTGTAGCGACAGGAACTCGGAAAGTCCCCTGAAACAGGTGATGGATGTGACTCGAAACGCAGCACCTAGTAACTGCGGATTGATAAATAAGAAATGGTGACCGACATTGCATGCAGACACCCAGTAAACGTCTACAAGCACATCTCAATGCGTGCACGTCGTTTGGGTGCTCGTGGACTAAAGATCAGCGAGGTTTCCGGCTGATGCACGTGTTCCTGACGTGGAGCTGTGCATGTATGTACACGTGAAAGATGATACCTTGATCCTGAGTGGAGCCGTGAAAGAAACAGATAACTGATGTTAACACGTAGAACGGTAACATCAATCTGGGGACAGGTGATCGATTAGTCAGACAGTCTATTATATGAGTGCGAATGTATGCAGATATGATGACCATGACATCAAATAGTTCAGTGAAAGGTCATCGAACAGAACAGGATTTGTTAGAATATCCGTCTGGCTGAACGTTTTCGGGATTTAAATAAGCGCCTTCGGTGATTAGCCATAGAATGGGTGATCATGATATCCTATAGAACACGTGTAACTTATCTATCGGTCATGTTATAGGTAGTAAACATTCCAGTCAAAAAAGCATGGACGATTTCCATAATTTAGATCATGGGTGATCAACATCCTAGGCCAATTATTTGGTAACAAGGATATCATTTGATTATCAGGATATCCTTCTGACCAATGTAGAAAACAATTTCAATTACAGATTATTCATAGCATTATAATTACTGCATCATTATATAACTGCAAACATGCATATTTAAATATAGCCAACAGAAGTAGATCCATGTGGTTCAGTGTTACTGTTCGATCAACAGATATACGATATATCGATTTATAAATACAGCAATTCGAAGTTTTTGCTGTAAATTTCTTCAAATTAAATATCAATAGTAGCGTTATTTTGGTAACCACTGAGCGGAACTTTGCATGGTCCATTGGTTTGTTAAACAATATAGGCGATTAGGTAATTCATTGGTGCTTCAATGATTACTGTACTGAACGGTGTAGAAGTGATCAGAGGGCATACACAATTTATGTGTGGTCATTGGAGTACACTAGCTGTATGAAGAGCGTTGTCCCATAAATAATGAATACAAGATACATGGGATAAACAAGGATTGGTTGATAACTATAACAAACGATGCATTTGTAATTAGTTTTGAAAGGTTCCATAAATGGGCTTTAAGTTAAACGGTTAGGTTAACTGTCTAAATAACTGTTCAGGTGAGTATCATGACGTGATGAGGTGAGGTGAGGTAGGGTGAGGTGAGGTGAGGTAAGGTGAGGTGGGGTGGGGTGGGGTGGGAGGGTCGGGTGTTTGGGGTGAGGTGAGGTGAGGTGAGGTGAGGTGAGGTGAGGTGAGGTGAGGAGATGTGATGTGATGTGATGTGATGTGATGTGATGTGATGTGATGTGATGTGATGTGATGTGATGTGATGTGTAACAGTTCAGGTGAGTATCATGACGTGGTGAGGTGTGGTGAGGTAGGGTGAAGGTGAGGTGAGGTAAGGTGAGTTGGGGTGGGGTGTTTTGGGTTAGGTGAGGTGAGGTGAGGTGAGGTGAGGTGAGGTGAGGTCAGGTCAGGTGAATATTAATTTATAACGACGTGCATACACGTGTCTATGTACATGTGTGTGCGTTTGACTGCTTGTACTGGTATAGTATACATTATAGTGCAAGCACAACGTGATACCAAGCTTTGATACATGTATACCCAACTCATTAACTGTCTTCGAGCCGACCAGTCCTTGTTTTAGGCCCCTTCAAGCCGAGCGCCAGGCAATATCAGCTTTGAACGTGTCTTGGTATGACGCGGCCCGCAATCGCAGCCCCGACCTTCCGATCTCCGGGCAGACGCCTTATCCACTACACCACGGAGGCGGTCTTTAGCCCAGATGATTGGTTTATGTATCATACGAATAGTTGATCAGCTTAATGAAGAGTATCATTGCAAACGATGTCAAATTCATAAACAATACGTGTCTAGTTGAACAAGCCGTGCTTGATGGGGAGCATGTAATGCTGACTGAACGTCAGTAGGTGTGTGAGTCAATCCCTTACTGTGTGCCGAAGTATCCGGTTTCCGTGAATGTACTGGTTCCTCTGCCCTAGCTTGGAGTCAGGTGTTACATTATGAATGATGAACTAGTTAATTATTCAAAACGACTAGAACTTAAACACAAACACATACGAAGTAAACAATGTGAGATACTCCTCGGAGAGTGATTGTGGTGTGGTGGTGTGGTGGCTTGATGGTGTGATGGCGTGGTGGTGTGGCGGTGTGGTTGCTTGGTGGTGTGGTGGTGTGGCGGTGTGGGGGTGTGGGGGTGTGGGGTGTGGTGGCTTGGTTGAGTGGTTGTGTTGTAGCGTGATGGTGTGGCGGTGTGGTGGTGTGACGGTGTGGTGGCTTGATGGAGTGGTTGTGTGGTGATGTGGCGGTGTGGCGGTGTGGCGGTGTGGCGGTGTGGTGGCGTGGTGGTGTGATGGCTTGGTGGAGTGGTTGTATGGTGGTGTGGCGGTGTGGTGGCTTGGTGGAGTGGTTGTCAGGTAGCGTGATGGTGTGAATGTGTGGTGGTGTGGCGGTGTGGCGGTGTGGTGGTGTTGCGATGTGGTGGCTTGGTGGAGTGGTTGCGCAGTTCCGCGTAGTGGTGTGGTGGCGTGGTTGTGTCGTGGCGTGATTGTGTGGTGGATTTGAGGTGTGGTGGATTGGCGGTGTGGTGGTGAAGTGGTGTGGTGGCGTAGTGGCGTGGTGGCGTGGTGGCGTGGTGGCATGGTGGCGTGGTGGCGTGGTGGCGTGATGGTGTGGTGGATTGGAGGTGTGGTGGATCGGCGGTGTGGTGGTGTAGTGGTGTGGTGGCTTGGTGGAGTGGTTGTGTGGTGCCGCGTGATGGTGTTGTGGTGGGGTGGTGTGGTGCTGTTGCATGCTGGCATTTAGCAACAAAGATACTCAGTACATGTTATGTATATTTTTATAAAGGTTCATTTGGGAACAAATGTACTTGAAGTGCTACAATGCTGCCGAATGGGGATTATTTAAAGCAACACTGTGGCATTTGTTGGTAAATATAAAATAGACATTGTGTTTGGCAATTGCGGAACACCCACGTCATCACGCACCGGGATGAACTGACGGTGGGCTCGTTACAGATGCGAATTTATGTACGAGGTCATTTGGTGCTGGTTTCTGTAATCTTGCACTGAATCCCGAGCACACTGGGAGATACTTTCTCTGTTGATTACGGTTCGTGACCTTCCAGCCCGGGCGAACTGAACCGGCTCCGCATCCAGTACCATTACCCCCTGTCCGAGAGGACCGCCTCCGTGGTCTAGTGGATAGAACATCTGTCCGGAGAGTGGAAGGTCAATGGTGCAATCCCCTGGTAGAATTATACCAAAATAAGTTATATGATGTTATTTGTTGTTACCCTGCCTGGCCCTCGGCATTATGGCTCGGGGTCATTGTTAAGTTTTTGAGTGAGGTATCCTTGCTAGACTGCATGGTATTTCAGTAGGCTAGCACTTTAAAACCGACATTAGACATCGAGGCATAGGTGATGGAAAATGGGGTTTAACCTAGCATACAAAATTATTGCACTTATATAGCGACGTGCATACACGTGTGTGTGTGTGTGTGTGAGTGTGTGCGTGTGTGCGTGCGTGCGTGCGTGCGTGCGTGTGTGTTAGTGTGTGTGCGCGCGCGCGCGCGCGCGCGTGTGTGTGTGTGTGTGTGTGTGTGTGTGTGTGTGTGTGTGTGTGTGTGTGTGTGTGTGTGTGTGTGTGCGTGCGTGCGTGCGTGTGTGGCTGCGTGTGCTAGTGCAGACTAATGCCGATTTATAGTGCTAACCCACTGAGATATCATGACACAGTTTACCATGAATACTCATTTAGACACAGTATACTGACTCCGAGCCGACCAGTCCTTGTTGTACCAATGTAATGCCGAGCGCCAGGGAGGGTAAAAACAAGTACTTAGGTATGGCGCGGCCGGAGATCGAACCCGCGGCCTTCCCCAGCAGACGCAATAATAACAATAATAACGATAATAACGATAATGATGACTGGGCGACGTTACTCCCCATTTCAACCTACCTCCCCGTGTGGCAACTGAATTGTGTTGTCATGTAGCGTATAATTTAGTTCATGTTATTTGTTCTACAACGCAAACGAGTTATTCCTAAACCGCTTTACAGTAGAGGGGAAATAACTCTAATGCACTCATGCTAACACTGTTCTGCGGTAGAGCGCATGTTTAGCCTAACCTTTAATAAAGCCAGAGCGTCTTTGTGTTTCACATGCGTAACAAACCGAATTGTAAGGTAAACATCCGCTGCCAACGACGGAACATTGTTTCTATCATTGATTGTTTTGAAATAATATCAATACATGTGTATCGCCAAAGGTATTCGGTTCCTTGAAGTCCTCACCAAAGGCTATCAGATCTGTATCCTCACCAAAGGCTATCGGATGTGTGTTCTCACTGAAGGCTATCGGATGTGTGTTCTCACTGAAGGCTATCGGATGTGTGTTCTCACCAAAGGCTTTCGGATGTGTGTTCTCACTGAAGGCTACCGGATGTGTGTTCTCACTGAAGGCTATCGGATGTGTGTTCTCACTGAAGGCTATCGGATGTGTGTTCTCACTGAAGGCTATCGGATGTGTGTTCTCACTGAAGGCTATCGGATGTGTGTTCCACGGAAGGCGATCAGATGTGTGACCTCACCTAAGTCTATAGAATGTGTGACCTCACTGGAGGTTTTCGGATGTGTGTTATCACCGAAGACTATCCGACGTATGTTTTTACCGAAAGCTGTCGCATGTGTGTCAACTAAGGTTATCAGATGTGTGTTCACACCGACGGCTATCGAATGCGTGTTCTCACTGAGTTCTCAGCGTAGGCTATCAGATGTGTGTTCTAAGCGAAGGCTACCAGTTGTGTGATCTCAGCGAAGGCTACCAGATGTGTTTCCTCACCGAAGGCTATTAGATTTGTGTTCTCACCGAAGGATACAAGATGTGGAATCTCACCGAAGGCTACCAGATATGTGACCTCACCGAAGTCTGTCGAATATGTTTGTCTCAGCGAAGATTACCAGATGTGTGTCCTCACCGAAGGCAACCAGATGTGTGTTCTCAGCGAAGGCTACCAGATGTGTGTCCTCACCGAAGGCTACCAGATGTGTGTTCTCAGCGAAGGCTACCAGATGTGTTATCTCAGCGAAGGCTACCAGATGTTAGTCCTCAGCGAAGGCTACCAGATGTGTGTCCTCAACGAAGGCTACCAGATGTGTGTTCTCAGCGAAGGCTACCAGATGTGTGTTCTCAGCCAAGGCTACCAGTTGTGTGTTCTCAGCCAAGGCTATCAGATGTGTGTTCTCAGCGAAGGCTATCAGATGTGTGTTCTCAGCGAAGGCTCCTAGATGTGTGTTTTCACCGAAGGCTACCAGATGTGTTATCTCACCGAAGGCTATCACATCTGTGACCTCACCGAAGTCTGTCGAATATGTGTTCTAACTGAAGGTTTTCGGATGTGTGTTCTCACCGAAGGCTTTCACACGTGTCTCCTCACCGAATGGACCCGTGGAGATCCGAGGTAGAATAGGTCTTCAGCAACCCATGCTTGCCGTAAAAGACGACTATGCTTGTCGTGAGAGGCGACTAACGGGATCGGACGGTCAGGCTCGCTGACATGGTTGATGCATGCCATCGATCCCAACTGCGTAGATCGATGATCATAATATTAATCACTGGATTGTCTGGTCCAGACTCGATTATTTACAGACAGCCGTCATGTACATGTAGCTGGAATATTGCTGAGTAAAGCGTTAAACAACAAACCTCACCGAAGGCTATCAGATCGTGTTTTCACCGAAGGCTAACAAGTTCAGTTGGGATGGTCGTCAGACTTGCAAACAATTGAGTTTCAGGAAAGATTGGACCTGTCACTCAACATTATAGTTATCTACATGTTCGTAGTCTGATACAACAATCACATGACTGTTTAGGAGACCCTTGTGATACGTCCACGGCATGTACTTGTATCTACTGCCCTGAAGCCATATACACTGAGTGCAGTTGTTGCAAAGTTATGTAGAGTTGTATGTTAATATGAAGTGTAAAGGCCTGCCCACAATCCGTAGCGGGGCGCATATAAACCTGCACAAAATATGCATAGTTACTCTAAAATGAAATGGACTACATCCTAGATTATTCTCTTGGTGTAATCGTTGTGTAGTGTTGCCACCTGGGCAGACACCACAGTCAAAAATAACCTGCGCGAGCTAGTGCAGTATTATCGTATTATCTGTCGACAGAGCGGGTGACATATCTTTTATCAACGCGCCAGTGAAGGGCACAGTCTGACACACACGTTGCACCTTCAACTACCTGATTCGGGTCAGTTATTACTTGCGAGAGGGGAGGGTCTCAGTCGAGACAGGTTTATCCAACAGGCAACGCAAGACATCTATATTCATATTAGACATTACCGAGAACAGGAAGGGTAAGTTTGTACATGTTTCTAAACCGTGAGTCCCATCCAGGTAAGTTTTGAACAACTGGGTCACACTATGTCTGGACTTTCTATATACGAAACAACGTCTTGACAGAGCAAGCAGTAATGTAATAATCGATATCGGCTTAAATGTAGGCTGATATAGTTTAGTTCATATGTATTCACTTTATATAAAGGTGTTGTCTAATCTTTGTCGTTCCAGTGGTTCGTATAGGATCATATATCATGGCGTCTAAAGCTCAGTGTCCGCATTGTTGTGTTTGCAAGAAGCCATACAAGTACAAAGGGATAGACCCGTACCTTCTTCCGTGTTTACATGCAGCCTGTGCTGGGTGCATTAGCGTTCAACGTGAAACAATAACATGCCTGTTATGCAGAGAGTCATTTGACAAAGAGCAATTCATTTTCCTAAATGATACCGTCACTCAAGTAGAAACCCTTGCCACTACCCTAAAACATAAGCCCTCGGAGATCAAATGCACCAACAAAGATCATAGCCTGGATGCAGTATCCTGGTGCAAGGATTGCGAGTCCTTCTTCTGTCAATCGTGTCAAGCTGCACACAATCAGGTGAGGAGTTCCAGCACCCATGGGATGGTGTCTCTGAAGGACATGAAGCCAGCGGATGTGCGTTCACAGAAGTCGCTTTGTCCAGACCATGAATCGTATGCTCTGGATCTTTACGATGAAACGTGTGAGATTATCATTTGTTCAAAATGTGCTCGGTCAAATCATAAGCATTGTAAGACTGAGGAGTTAGACGAGGCTGCTGGTGCCGTGGAGGAAGACACAATAGAAGATAAGAGTAAATTGGCAGCCAAGTTACAACATTTCAAGGATATGATCGACGAATCAAACACAAAACAGGAGACGATGAAGGAAAGGCACAACGATTTGAAGGATTTGTTGTCACAAAGATTTAACAGCATCCGTGACTTGATTACAAAACGAGAAGCGGAATTGAGGAAAACCTTGGAGTTCAGACACCTGTCTGAGATGGATGAGGCTGCGAGGGTCAGTAACAAGCTAAGACGGATAGTCAGGTTATGCAAGAACACCCATGATTACACAGGGAAACTGCTGGAGCATGGAAACACGAGCGACATCCTGATGCTGAGGAAGTATGTGAAGTTCAGGACAGAAATGGCTTTATCTGAGGAGGCCGAGATGTTTGAAATTGTACCAGTTCATGTAACATTTTCAAAGGAGAAAATACAATCACTTGAAAATGTTTTACAAACCGTGTGCGACATTGAGACCAAGGAGGGGGATGATGGCAGCTTTATGAATTTGTATGCCAATTTTGAGGGACCAAACAGTGATACTGAAACTTCTGAGAAAGGTATGGCTTGAAGTTTTCTTGAATTCCATTGAAAGCCGTCCCAAAAAGATTGCATATGTTTTTTTCTGAAAGAGCATTGAAAAATAATATTTCATCGTGATTTGTTCGTGAACTTGCACAGGAACACTGGAACATATCATGTTGCAAAAGTATCATCAATAGAGCATTACATCAAGATAGTTGTGTGTGTTATAGAAGTAAATACATCAGGGATATTTATAAATCCCTCAGCATTTCTATTTTTAAAGTACGTATAAAGTCCCTATGTTTCAATACTTGTACATTCTGCATTTTCATAGGTAACAGTTGTCAGTATTACCTGTACGATTCATGTCATATGGTAGAGAAATGCTTTAACATCGAGTTGCAAAAACAACATGTAGTTTTTGTTCCAGTCATGAACAATCCGCAATCATGTTTATTGGTTGTTGAGAACATTTGTGATTTATGTTAACAGCTGCCGCTTACAGGAGGAGAACCTAGACACGTGAAAGCTGATAATATTGTATGAAAGCAACGATGATGACATCCTTTAAGATTTACCTTGAAATGAAAACATAATACATATATAAATGTCTGTGTGTGCTTTCGCATTTTTGACATGCACTATGTTTCAGATCCCCAAGCACAGGGAAACTATCTTCCAATGTTTTCAACAGTGGACGAGAGTAAGCTTTCAGACTTGATATCAGGTACTGACACATCGACAGAATCTGGACTGATTTATTGAACTTTTGTTTTTCAAACCTCGTGCTGATTTGGGTAAAGATAATTTCAACATTATGAATTGTGCATTAAAGAAAAACAAATAACTGTTATGTAATAATATGACAAGGATAAATAAATAACACAAAACGTTCTCTGAATTGGCTTACATAACATTAAACATTTTGATGATGCAGAAACGGAGCCCCTTGACATGGATCCGGACACCGAAGAAGAAAAGGAAAGAGAACACAACGAAGAAAACGAAGAGGACAACGGGGAAGAGTTGATCACCGGCAATCCTGCTTTGTCATGTAAGTAGATGCGCAGATGATCAACAATGGTTATCACAATATTACCTTCATGTCAGTAGAGAATGATTAATAAATAATATAAATGTAAAGAAAAGAGAGTACAGTTTAGAAAACAATAATGATACTTAATGATCTACAGAAACAAGGTGTTCTACAGAAACAAGGTGTTGGTACATTGCAGATCCTGCTTTGTCGTTTGACGTGGAAAGAATCAACAACAATAAGGTCCATGTCAACAACAAAGGGTTCCTGGTCAATAGTAAAGTCTCCCAAGAAAGGAAACTAGGTCAGTATGTTGGGACAACGGCTATTACACCTCTACCCAAAGACAAAGTCAGCTATTGGGAGGTTGAGTCAGACTTCAACGTGGCCTCTGAAATGCAACAACATGGCCTACTTATGGAAATAGGTGTGGCTAGGGGAGCATGCCTGGACAACAGCTACTGCATGAGTGGGCAGAAAGGATCCATGTGTCTCGCCATCGCACACTGCTCTACACACAAAGGAGTCTGTGCAAAGATCTGGAGCAATGGCCAGAAGATGAGATGCTACGAAAACGTTTTGTCGACCAGTCCAGGAACATCTGACACACTGCGACATGGGCTTCTGTTTGACGGTACAAGGAACACCCTCACTATATTTGACCTCAACACCATAGCTGAACTTGTGACACTGGACACAGAAGAACAGGCAGATGACCTCTGGCCCGTGTTCGGAGCATACAACTCTTCCCTTGCTGCTGTTCAGATGAAGGTGGTGTCGGGAAAAGAAATAAATATTTTAAAATCAAAGACAAAAATGCTGAAGGGAGCAATGGAGTGATTTGTAGCTTATATTGCTATTGAACATTTTCGTGGGAGTAGATGATGATAAATAATCAGTGAGGTGTTTCTTACGACTGTTTCTTTGACTGATTGATAACATCACTATCTACATTCGCATATTGTTTTCTTAAAACAGTCCATTTAAAAAAGTATATATGCATACCAATTATTTTACAGTTACATATTAGATGTACCTAAACGTTCTTACCAACATAGTGCCAAGGCATGTGTTAATGCAGCAGCTTAAGCAGATGTGTGTGTTGTCTGTTTCGTGCGAAGAATTGTACTTGTGTATTATTTTACTATTTACCCGTTTCGCCATTGTTAATTCAATTCGTAACTGTGAAAATCTAAAAGTTCATTCCAAGCCACAAGATACATGATAAACATACCGTATCTGTAAGTAATGTACACCACATATACAGTTTTCTTATCTACACATTTATCAACATTTTCCACATCTTCATCATAATAACTGTACAAACTGTCATGATTTCTCTCTGTGGCTAAACTATAGATATGAAGTTAAAATGACAAAATTTGTGTGTGTGTATACAAGGTATAAAATACATTATTTGTACCTGCGTTATGTTGATGGTTAAAGATAAAATACATGTTCAAGGTTATGTGCAAGGATATGTTTATATTGTTTTGCTGCATGTATACGATACAAAGAATAATAAAAAGCGCTTCTTATGACTTTGGAAAGGGTATTGTCGCTTCTTTGTCAGCTATTCTCCAAACAGGGAGCAAAAACTAGCCAGATATGAACTCATAATACTTTTGAAACTAATCTTAATGATTTAATCATCCCAATTGAGTTTCATTTGAACCCACTCTCATCCTGCCGCTCACACATACACACATACTCTATCAGATTACGCAAAAATCACAAAAACTCCTTGATGACTGTGACCGCCTCCCTGGTCGAGTGGATATGGCGCCTTCACAGAGAGCGGAAGATCCGGGGTTCGATCCCCGGTCGCGTCATATCAAAAGGAGCTCAAAGATGATATTTGCCTGGCGCTAGGCATGAAGGGGATAAAACAAGGACTGGTCTGCCCGGAGACAATTAATAAGTTGGGTATCCAAGTGAAATTTTGCACCTCACCTCACCTCACCTCACCTCACCTCACCTCACCTCACCTCACCGCCTCCGTGATCGATTGGAAAGAGCGTCTAGCCGGGAACGGAATGTCGTGTGTTCGATCCCCGGACGCGTCATAACAAAGGTACTTGATGTTACCCTGCCTGGCGCTCGTCATTAAGGGGCTAAAACAAGGGCAAGTCGGCTCGGAGTCAGTATACCGTTTTTGAGTGGGGTAGACATGTCAAACTGAGGCATGGTATATCAGTGAGCATACACACATACGCTATGTAAGGGAAAAAATCATGAACGCGAAGTTAAACCCCATTTCACCTCACCTCACCTCCTCTCACCCGAGACGTTTACGGGACTCGGTCGTCGTCTGATATACGGACATTATATACTCCAATGTACACACCGCTACACATTACCATTCAACTTACATTCAGCGTGAATATACATACTCAAAACTGCTGATCTTCCATGAACTATCCAACATACAGTCAAGCATGAGAGCACACTCAGAATAGCTATAAATACACAGTTATTCACCATACAAACGACTATGAACATACGCAGAATAATCATTAGAATACCTGGCCCAGAAGTTTTTGCACAATAATTCATACTACATATGACTTTCTTCAATAATGATGGTGATTTGACATATACATGTACGTACAATGACGACTGCCAAAACACTATCTATAACTTCGTGTCATATCATTTACACATATACCACACATAGTTCAATTGTGAGAGAAATCGTAGTTGTCATACTTATTCGATGTATGTATCTATCTATCTACATATCTATATATCTATATCTATCTTTCTATCTACATACATATGTCTATATTATCTATATCTATCTATCTATCTATCTATCTATCTATCTATCTATTTATCTATCTATCTATCTATCTATCTATCTATCTATCTATATGTATGTGTATATATATAATGTATATATATAATGTATTTGTATATACTGTGAAGATCCGGGTTAGAATTGGCCTTCAGCAACCCGTGTGTGTGTAATAAATATGTATGCTAGAAAATAATGTGTTACAGTGAATGTGCAATTTACCAGAACTATACAGACATTTACTAAAATATATTGTGAAAACTTCACAACAGCCTTATCGACCGAAGCTGCGTGAAAATTTTCATAGGCTGTCCTGATAATCAGGTCACTTTCTGTTGTACACCACGCACTCCTGGCAAACAACAAGCCACTTACATAATCTACACACATTACAGACTACGCACAGTCCAATCACTCTCTCGTGACTCCATTCAAATCAAGATAAAAAGATAATGCAGTGTTGAGTCTTTACTCAAGCAGTTGGCCCATATATTGATGAGCACAGGTCTGTATAATAGAGCTCACGACTTGCAGCGACGTGCAGTGCTCATGAGTCAATATGCACAGCATGATGATTGAGGGCTTATCTCGAAAGACATATAAGGTAGAGCTGTCCAGGAAGTGTAAAGAGTTGAATCACAACGTGTGTGATTGAGTAAGTTGTTTTTAACGCCGCGTTGAACAGTATATCAGTTATGTCAGAGCTTAATGCGAGACCAGAGCACAACATGGTGCAGATTACAGATGTTTTCTTTAACGTAAACCCATAAGGAAGAGTATAATGGGGAGGACGGATTCCTTCTGGTATTCTCCGGCAGAGGTTTTGAAGCACTCTGACAATTTAATATATTTTGAAAAGTTTTTTTTAACACTTATACACATACTAAAATCTGGGGCAGTGATAGGAGTGAAGGTAATTTGAGGTCAAGCTAACGTTTGAAAGAACTTGGTGTAATTTTGTCAGCTTGTTGGGTAGGTCTAAAACGTTTACAACTTTGGTGAAATCCACAAACACTGTAATAGTGTTGAAAAACCCAGAAACATAATCAGGGCATACAAGGATTCGAATTGACGAGAAGTATAAATGTGGAATAATTCGTGTAATTGGTTGACGCATATTAAAGTGCGACATCAACCACCTGGCATATCGAAGCAGTGAGTGGCAGGACTCAGGTAAGGCTGTGAGCAGTACAAACAGCGGAAGCACTTCGGGAGGTGGAAAGTAGGGAAGCACTGCCAAGGGTTAAAGCACCGAGGAAGCAGTGTACAGAGCGGGAGTGGAAAGTGTAAATAGTGGAAGCAGTCGGGTTATACTTAGGACGTGGAAAAAGTGAAAACAATCGGATCTACTTATGGACTTTAAATAATGGAAGCAGTCGGGTTATACTTAGGACGGTAAAAAGTGAAGGAAATCGGATCTACTTAGGAAGCCTAAATAGTGGAAGCAGTCGGGCTATACTTAGGACGTGGAAAAAGTGGAAGCAATCGGATCTACTTAGGAAGTGTAAATAGTGGAAGCAGTCGGGTTATACTTAGGACGTGGAAAAAGTGGAAGCAATCGGATCTACTTAAGAAGCGTAAATAGTGGAAGCAGCCGGGTTATACTTAGGACGTGGAAAAAGTGAAAACAATCGGATCTACTTATGGACTTTAAGTAGTGGTAGCAGTCGGATTATACTGGGGACGGGAAAAAGTGAAGGTAATCGGATCTACTTAGGAAGTATAATAGTGGAAGCAGTCGGGTTATAGTTAGGATGTGGAAAAAGTGAAAGCAATCGGATCTGCTTAGGAAAAATAAATAGAGGAAGCATTCGGGTTATACTTAGGACGTGGAAAGAGTGACGGCAATCGGATCTACTTAGGAAGTGTAAATAGTGGAAGCAGTCGGGTTATACTTAGGACGTCGAAAAAGTGGAAGCAATCGGATCTACGTAGGAAGTGTTAATAGTGGAAGCAGTCGGGTTATACTTAGGACGTGGAAAGAGTGAAGGCAATCGGATCTACTTAGGAAGTGTAAATAGTGGAAGCAGTCGGGTTATACTTGTGGAGTGTAAAATGATGAAGCAGTCAGGTTAAACCTTGGAAGTGGAAAGAAAGTTGAAGCAATAGGGTTATACTTGGGGGGTGGAAAGTGCTGAAACAGTCGGGTTAAACTTGGAAAGTGGGAAGAGCGTAGGTACAACCTATTTTGGAGGAGCAGCGCCAATGATGACCTTAATAATATCTGTACTTAGCTATACTTAATGTTGTATGTAGTAGTAAACCTGGATGCAGAGTTACACGACATTAACACACACACCACAAGTGGACATCTACAAGTTCCACTCGTTGTAAACGATTTGATCACAAATATCCATTAATTCTTGTCTTGTTGACTCTCACTTGTGCTGTCTTACAAAACCAACAATATTTGGATATCTTGGGCTATAATGTTTAGAAAAATATTTTCCGAAGCAGTGGCTGGAGATGATACTGTCTAAAAAACAATCCAGGTGACATCACCCCCCTCCAACCCACACTGACACCGCCACAATCCCCGTAATCGCTACTACCCCAAGAAAAATACATGGTCAGAACCTTGATGACATACAGTTGTTTTGCAGGTTAAGAAATAATATTTTTCATGGTATCTAAAACCACTGCAATGTCTCCATTAAAACCTAAAATGTGTCAGATTTTGACAAGTACAGCCTTCATTAAGTATACATATATAGTTGGGTAGTCAGTACGGTACTCGTGATTGAATGAGGGTACAGGAAATATGTTTAGAGAGATGATTAAATTTAGTTCGATAATAATGACCATGTTACAGTCCTTAGCTATACATTTACTGCAGATAAAAAAACACTTTTGCATTGCATATCAGCTTAGTCGGTCAGAGTGTGTCACCTATCATGTGACACACGGCCATCAACTACAACTTATCACAGTGTCGGCTGTCATTTTGTGGTTCGAAGTTTACAAACGCCCCCAGTCATACACGTCCTGTGGATGGTGTCTCCACGACGGTAGCTAACGGAGTCTAATGTCTGAATTTCTAAGCGAAAGCCTTTGAACAACATCATCCAAACATCGCAATACGAACATCGAAGCTGAATTATACTGGTAAGAAGAATATCGCCTTAAAAATTATATATGAATAATAATCTCCATACAGGTTAAATGACGTCCTGAAGGTACATTATTTTAATTACCTGTTATAATCTTAGACATACTGATTTTGTAAATATACCTAATTTTCGTTTATAAGGTTTCCAACATCATGGCCACCAAAATCACAGTTAGAATCCCACAATGCAGTGCTTGTGAGACGCCATTCAGATACAAAGGAGTCGAGCCATACCTTCTCCCTTGTTTACATCCTGTGTGTGCTGATTGCATCAGAGCTGAATGCGAAACGGTACAGTGTTCATTCTGCAGATATTCTTTCGACAAAAGAACGATCGGTTTGCCAAAGGACCATGTCACTGAAATGGATATACTATCCTCAACCCTCAAATTGAAGCCATCAGAGGTCACATGCACCAATAAAGACCACGGTAATTCAGCAAAGACTGCCAGGTCATGGTGTAGGAACTGCCAGGCCATGTTTTGTAGGTCATGTGAATCTGCTCACAACCAAGTAAAGACGTCCAGGACCCATCAGATGTTGCCAGTGGGAGATATGAAAGCAGGTGGACTGACGCCCCCCAGTGCCCTCTGTACTGATCACGACGAGTACTTTCTTGACCTTTACGATGAAACTTGTGAGACTCTCATTTGTTCTAAATGCGTACGGTCAGAACATAAGCATTGTGTTGTGCAGGAACTGGAAGATGCAGCTACTGTGGGGAAAAGCACGACGATACAAAGCAAAGCTAAATTAGAAGAAAAGTTACAAGAAATCCGGAAAGCGATGACAGAAACCAAAACAACGCGAGAGAATTCGGAAGCAAGTTACAACGACTCAAAGACACTCCTGTCAAAAAGATTCCATCATCTAAAGGAGTGTCTCACCAAACGTGAAGCAGAACTACAAGAAGAATTGGACTCCAAGCATAGACTTAACCTGGTGGACATTTCAAGGATTAACTTGGGATTGCAAAACGTTCTACGTAAATGTGAGGACACACATGACTTTACTGAAAAACTGCTGAAATATGGGCCTCCCAGTGATATCCTGATGCTGGAGAAATGCATGACAATACAGACGGAAAACTGTTTAGCTGAGGATGTTGCGGGGGCTGAGGTTGAAGCCATGCAACTGTCCTTCTCGAAGGAACAGATGGAACATCTTGAAGAAGTTATTTCATCCATTGGAACAACCAAGTCTGACATTCACAGCCAAGACAAGGAAAACGACAAGAAGGGCTCAGGTTAGAAATAAATGAAATAAATTTTTGATTATGGTATTTTTAAACAATTAAAAAGAGATTTAATGTCAAATCAAATATGTAACTTATGTGACGCCCGAACAACAGCAGAGATAGGATTGAAATATCATTGTCTACAACGATAAAATTGTTGTGCTATGATAACGTTGGAACTGTATAATGCCAAACGAAATGAACACACCTTTACACGTTTGCTTGGAATATATTTGCATTTACTTCTTCTTCAGCTGAGAAACGTCACCTTGAGCCAGTAGAAGAGAGATTGTGTAAGTGAAATCATTCCACACCTAACGTGTTTCGTTTTTTCGCACATTTAAAGCAAACGGAGCAACGTGGAAAACACATCAACAACTTGTTTGTTCTGAATTCAATGTTGTTAATATGTCATAATAATGAAGGCAATAGCTTTAATAATTAACCATTTTAAAATAACATGCATGATAATCTGCTTGACTCAAATATTGTCCTTAGATTTTCCTGGTCTATATCTAAAGTCCGAATTCGGCATTTGATTTTGAAAGGATTAAAAGAATAAGGTTTATGTAAAAAAAACATCAGGTTTACCAGGGTTTCTCCAGAGAGGAATCCAATCATGTATAAACAATTTGATCTGCATGCATGCATTGTATGTTTATTTGACCTTTTCCGGTTTCATGAGTATCCTTGATAATTTATCTAATGTAGATTGAGTTTTAATTCAGGTAATTTCCGTTCAGTGAAGAATCATTTATCCCGATTACATAGCATGTATATGGGTTTGTTGAAAACATTTATATTGTATGTTAGCAGCTTTCTTTGAAGATGATAGTGGTAACAGCGTTCGCTCGTTACGCAAAATTGCTGAAGCTTATTTCTTGTGTCCCCACCGTTATATTGCCGGACTCACACACTCTTATTTACCACATATCTTGGTGTTTGACATCACTGACAATATGTAAATGTTGTTTCAGTATGATAGTTATTATTTTGAATTTGGTGTAGAAAATACGAGAATCTGCCTCTGTGAAATCTGGTTCAGAATCAGCTGCAACATCAAAAGCGTAACGCCAAGCTAATAGTTTAAAGACTGTGCATTACAGACAAATCAATAACTGTAATAAAACGAAATAATACGCATTGGAAACTGAATGAAACAAAACATGTACTGGAAATTTTTTTATTACACTGAACGTATCTTTATGCAGACACGGAAACACTAATGTCAGCGTAGAAACATTAATTATGATTAGAAAATATTACAGTGAGTAGGAATATTCCAGCAATATCACGGCGGGGGACATTAGAAATAGGCTTCACACATTGTACCCGTGTGGGGATCGAACCCGGGTCTTCGGCGTGACGAGTGAACGCTTTAACCACCAGACTAGCCACAGACCCAGTAAATAGTGCGAGCGTAAAGAATTCAGAGATTACAATTTAGAAAAAAATAATGATACCAAATGATATGCAGAAACAACGTGTTGGTACATTGCAGATCCTGCTTTGTCGTTTGACGTGGAAAGAATCAACAACAATAAGGTCCATGTCAACAACAAAGGGTTCCTGGTTAATAGTAAAGTCTCCCAAGACAGGAAACTAGGTCAGTATATTGGGACAACGGCTATTACTCCTCTACCCAAAGACAAAGTCAGCTATTGGGAGGTGGAGTCAGACTTCAACGTGGCTTCTGAAATGCAACAACATGGCCTACTTATGGAAATAGGTGTGGCTAGGGGAGCATGCCTGGACAACAGCTACTGCATGAGTGGGCAGAAAGGATCCATGTGTCTCGTCATCTCACACTGCTCTACACACAAAGGAGTCTGTGCAAAGATCTGGAGCAATGGCCAGAAGATGAGATGCTACGAAAACGTTTTGTCGACCAGTCCAGGAACATCTGACACACTGAGACATGGGCTTCTGTTTGACGGTACCAGGAACACCCTCACTATATTTGACCTCAACACCATAGCTGAACTTGTGACACTAGACACAGAAGAACAGGCAGATGACCTCTGGCCCGTGTTTGGAGCATACAACTCTTCCCTTGCTGCTGTTCAGATTAAGCTGGTGTCAGGAAAAGAAATACAATTACCACTGTGGAAGAAATCGTTTTTGGAGAGAGCCATGGCTTTTTCGGTAGCTAGACAGTAGTACAACAGAATTAGCAACACTGCTTATAACGCAGATGTTTATCATCGGTGATCATCTTTGAGTTATCTGTACTAATATGTGACACTGTTTTAAGAATATCAACTTCCTTTATTCTAACTCTATTCACGAACGAAATACCTTTGAATCGTCTTGACAAAGAATAAAAGAAGTTGCTATCCATAAAATGTGTCATGTATTCATGTTCTTCAAACTTCTAAATGCCTATTAAAGACTTTGTACTAAGTTTAGCATACACATCACTGCATGCTTCAATCATCACCATTGTAAATTATTTAATGTGGTTATCAAGTCAGGAAATAGTAGTAATCACATTATCGATTTAAAAACCAATCTGTAATTTTCGTAATGTATACTGACACACAATGAAATCGCATCACCAGCTTTATTTCGAATGACGTGAAAACGATTTTTGTAACATGACAAAGTATAATGACTTTGTGACAAAATGGCATAAATTGTGTGGTTGATTATCTTATGCCTAAATACCACGAACAACTTAATATTATTTTGATGTCCATTTGATCAAATATTACAAAACGGTCGAATACTAGCATGCTCTTCAAGGTGTATCAGTGTATTATTCAACGGATTACAATCAGCATGGATGAATTAAACCATTTTCATGGATTTCGTTGCCTTCAATGGAACGATATATGTGTAGACATGTTTATAAACACGCGCGTGGTATCAAAAAACTAAAAGTCGATCATATATAATGTATATGTGGAGCCATCGTGTAGCCTATTGGTTAAAGCGTTAAAGCCGAATACCCAGGTTCGATTCCCGACATGGGTACAATGTGTGAAGCCCATTTCTGGTGTCCCCCGCCGTGATATTGCTGGAATATTGCTAAAAGCGGCGTAAAACTATACTCACTCACTCACTCACTCCAATGTATACGTATATAACAAGTTATTTCTTTAGATGTATAAGAATTAAATATACATTCTACTATGTATTTGGGAAGTACCGTTTGGAATATTTAAATAACTTTATGTATAACAACAGGCTACAGAATGCATACTGCGGTTACTGCAATATTCCATGGATGTGTGACAATACATACTGTGTAGAAAACACGATAAAACCAACAAAGAAAATGTACTTAAAGTTTTAAGGATAATGGAGATCTTGCTATTTGGCGCCATTCGTCAGCACTCGCCCCTTTCCGTAACCTATAAGAAGACTCGTCCCCCTCTCGATGAATGTTATGTGCGAAAATACGACAAACCAATCAGAGTGCGTGTATGATTTCAAGTACTTCGTCAAAGAATCCCTCAGAAATAATTTTTTATTTTACATATGTCTTGCATCTAAAAATATACCAAAGACACAGTTAAATGTGTTCAATCATATTGTATAATTCCGCACGTCCCGATGTGCTTTAAAAGGCATCTGAAATATATATAATATATGGGGAAATATATGTGAACCATTACGCAACGAATTGACAATTGTTTTAGTTATGCCCGTTTGCGCAACGATAGATAGTAATTCCTACGTAGGAGATAGTAAGTCCTATGTAGAAGATACTGAGTCCTACGTAGGAGATACTTAGACAAAAATAATTCACCCTGGCCCGACTACGCTTTCGCAGAAGAAAGACATATATATTAAGATTGTGAAAAAAACATCTATATAAAACACAAGAATACATGATTAATTTTGCTCTCTTTATTTTTTTTTACGTATTTTAATATATTTAATGAGCCAAAATGTTTTTACTTTTACTATATGCATAAATAATCAGATGGCATGGAAGTATTTGACAATGTCATTAGAAATTGATTAGAAATACAAAATAATATTTTGCTGTCACTCGCAATTGCACGGTAAAAATATAATAAAATCACAATAAAATTCCAAAGTGGTATCCTTAACAATGCAAACATTTTTTTGTCATTCATAAATCAATTATGTATTGTCTGTGTATTTGACCAATTTATGTAATTTAGCTATTCATAGCTATTTGTTGTTTGGATATTTAATGTTAGATCTGTTTTGGCAGTTTCTTGTTCGTAAAACATTGGATAAAATGTCATCCCCGTCACTAGCCTACACGCAAAAAATCCATACTGTAACTTCAATGAAAGCGTAAGTGAATGAGTGTGGTTTTACGCCGCTTTTGGCAATATTCCAGCAATATCACGACGGGGGACACCAGAAATGGGCTTCACAGTCATTGAACGAAAACATAACACGTTTACTCATTGCTGACACTACAGATAATATATATCAAAGACTTTATCAAAAGATACTGAAATGTGCATTCTACATCCATTAAGTACGAACTTAATATATTGAGATTCTATTTTCTGAGGAAATTTATACGGTCAATGAGAAGTACTACTTGAGGCAAAAGGCAATGCATTCATAGACATGTATGGCTACGGGACAGATTAGGAAGGCAGATCTCAGACATGGCCAGCCAACTTATGGTTGAACGCAATAACGTTTCATGAAGACGACGTTTAAGTCCATGTCAGCTCACGTCCAACTCCCCTCTTATCGTATACGTGTATTAAAATAGCATTCACCTTTGCACCTCAACCCGGAAGTGACCTAGCTACACAAACATGACGTGGTCTGTGCCAGGTAGGTGCGTTGTGGATCGTCTCTGATAGCCTAACAATATAATCAATAAGATAATATTGTTCTGTATGAGAAATTACATGTGTTTAACTAAATCACAAGAATGCATTTCAACTGTTACATTGCATATCTTAAGCATATCTTAACTTGAATCATGAAACACTCGTCTAAAGTCTATACATTAGTGTGAGGTGACAACTAAACAGTGCTACTTTCGTTTTCAAGCGCCGACATGTTCTGGGACACGACACACTTGCCTGCCCTATGTGGTCTGCTGATACAATCTCGCCTTTTCTATGCCGCTGTTCATGAGTATTATGACGACCTCGCGCGTATCTTCCTTTTGCAAACAGATATCATACCTCCCGTGCAGAATGAACAGCTTATTGTTATCTGATCGATCGAATACACGGATAGTTCAGCATTACAGTGCTTGAAAGGCCATTTATTGACATGTAAATGTGAATATACAGGGGTGTGTTTGATATTAGTTTGACTAGCCATTATTATTTCTTTATTTGAGACGAATGGTCAAATTGAGCAATATATTTGAAACTAATTATATATATAATTGGCGATTTGGACGCGTAGTAGCTACGTACGTGAGCAGTTACGTTGAATTGGCGACAGTGCGAATTTGATATATCTTGTTATGCATGTCTTATCAGTGATGGCCTGAAGTACATTATTTATTTAATATTAAATTTTATTATTCTGGTTTTTTTTTACTAATCGGCATTAATATTATTTTAGCATTCCGCAGTTTCCATGAAAACGTCATCCTTTAAATGCATCACATAGAATTATGTCAACAGACATGAGAAAAACAAAATTAAAACATAATAATAGAATGAAACATGAGCACAGATGACAATCTTCCGATGTCAATACATGTGAAATGTATGTTGTGGTTAAGATAATGATGTTGTACAGTTGTATGTATTTATTGCTGCACTGTCGTATACAATTTGTTGGTATCTGAAGTACATGATATTTTTTATTTTGTTCGGCTGATACTAATTATATTTGAGGCAAGATGGAATAGGGTTCAACGTCGCGTTCAAGATTATTGTGATCGTCACGATATGGCTGAAATATTGCCGATGTGACGTAAAGCATTACCTCACTCACTCAAGATTATTGTACTTATATAGCGACGTGCATGCAAGTGTGCGTGTGGCTGCTGTGGTCCGGACAAATGCCGATTTTATAGTGATAGCCCACTGAAACACCATGTCGCAGTTTAACATGTTTACCCCACTCAGGCACACTATACTCCGAGCGGCCCTCAATTCCGGGCCACAGGCAGGGTAACAACAAGTCTTTTTGGTATGACGTGGCCGGGGATCAAATCCCCGCCTTTTCGCTCTCCGGGCAGATGTTCAAAAACTAGACCACGTTGGCGGTCTACTAATTATTATGTGAACATACCATGCATTAATCTATGTAAAGGTCATACCCGTAACCAAGACCTCATATATACAATACAAGTACACGTATTGTCCGCTGATGTGGCAAAGCTGTTCAACATCAAGAATAAGCTGTCTACAATATAATCCATTATAAAAAAATTGTTTCCGACATGGATGAGATACATCGTATTTCTAAGTCATATTTTTTTTTAAAAACTTTCAATCAGGGCGCACGTTGTCATCTGATATCTCAGACATTATGTTATCTCAATGTATATTTTTCTATTTTTTATTTGCATGTATAATTTCCAATACTTCGAATCTTCCAGAACTGTGCACAACTTGGACATCATAACACTAAACAGGACAATGGCGACTGCAGTGAAGCTACCCCAGTGTAGAGTGTGACACACCTCGTACAAGTATGGTGGGCCTGATCCACACCTCCTACCATATCTCCACTTGGTGCGTCAGACATGCCTAGACACTGACACCCTTGATACACTGACGTGTGACATCTGCCAGGAAACATTTGATAAAGAACAAACGGATTTTCCTCCCGATGTCGTTGTCATCAAAGATATCTTCCACCAAACTGCTGAAAACGATGGTTCCGCTGTGCTTTGTACCAACAAAGATGACGGCAACCAAGCCATGTCCTGGTGTGATGAATGTGAAGCCTTGTTGTGTGAGCACTGTCAGGCCAGCCATGAGGATATGAAGATAACAAGGTCACATGCAGTTGTGCCATTGGAAAACTTGACGTCTTCTGACGGAGAACCTACTCCTAAGACTGTCTACTGCACAGAACATGCTGATCATCCTCTACAGCTCTATGACGAAACATGTGAGCAAAGAATCTGTTTCAAATGTAAGGAGAATCATAGCGACTGCAAGGTGAATGACATAGCCACAGCATGTCAACATCTGAAGGAGACGGTACTGGAGGAAGGACAGAAAGGCCTCTCTAAGAAGATAGAAACAATCAGAGCCATCAGGGACAAGGTACTAGAAGTTGTCAAGATGTCAGAGGGGAAAGAGGAGGAAGGGAAGGAGTTCTTAAAGCATACATTTTCTGACCTGAGAACTACTTTAAAACAGCGAGAAGAAGGGGTTTCTCTACAACTGGATCAAAGTTTCAGAGCTGTATATGATATGAATAATTCACGGCTATCCAAGTTGGAAATGGAGGAAGCCAAATGTGACACAGCACTTGGGTATTGTCAGAAATTCGCTGCTATGTCTAGTGTTGACGCACTCTTCAGGGCCAGAAAGACAGTAGTATCCAGAACCAATGAATGTATTACAACT